AGAGGAGGAGGAGGAGCCGTGAGCCGGGGCTGCGGTCGGTTGGAGGAGTGGAGCGGGAAAGGAAGCCGGCACCCGGATCTGAGCCGGAGGAGCTACGGGCGGGTGGTGAGCTGGGTTCCATGGCGCTAGGGTGGGTTGCACCCTAGAGGAGAGCTGGAGCGGGGGCGCCCGCTGCGGAACCCCGCTCCCGCCTCCCCCGGCTGGGGGAGTGGGCAGCAGCCGGCTTGCAGAGGGGATGCGGCGCCAGGGCTGGGGGAGGGCACGGGGAGGGGGCGCGTCCTCAGCTGGTCCCGCCCCCGAGGCCCCGCCCCGCCCCCGCGGGGGGGCCCCTCCCCATCGCGGGCGGGGAGAGGAGGGGGGGGCGGTCCTGACGGGCGGGGCCGTGCTTGCTGCCCCAGGGGAGGGCGGCTGTCCCGGCGGGGGGCGGAGCCGGGGGCTGCTCCGAGGCTCTACCTGGGTCAGGGCAGCGGGAGGACGGGAGGGGGGCCCCTCTCTCGGTTGCCCGGAGAGGGCAGTCCCGGGGAAGTTGGCGGTCACCACGGGGCTGCGAGAGCAGGGGAGCCCTCCCTCCCAGCCGGCCGCCCGCGGTGCGTAGGTGAAAGCCGCGTAGTCCTGCCCCCTCGCCACTGGGCTACCCTCCAGGCCGGCCGCCGCGCTGCTACCTTCCTGGTGTCACCTTCCCAGTCGCTCCCCGCCCCGCCCCGCCCCGCCCCGCCCCGCCCCGCCCCGGCTCTCTGGTCGGCCCGCCTCTCCTCCCTCGGTTTCCCCGGGTGGGCCCTCCTCCCTCCCTCCCCTCTAGCTCCCTCTGTGCCTACTTCTCCCCCCCGCTCCCCGCCCCCTCTCCGGTCCTCTTTTCCTCCTCCGGGGCTCCCCAGCCCTCCCTCCCTGTCTGCCTGCTTGCTGCTTTCCCTCCAAGTGCAGTTGCCTCCTCCCCGGGACTCGAACACATTGGCTTTTTGTCCTCTCCTTTCAGATTGCTCGGGGATCGGCAGCGCTGCTCGCTCCTACTGCTGGGACCCGGAGCCTGAGACTTTGGGGGGCTCTGGAGCAGCCGGAAGCCCCCGGGCCCGTGGCCTGAAGCCTCCCATGTGCCCCTTGGCTTGGGCGTCCCAGTGACTCGAGGGGAGGGGTCGCCCTCCTTCTCTGTGACGTCCAGCCGGCTCCTGTGACTCTCGGTTCCAGCCTGTTCCCGTTCGCTCCTGGGTGGTCAAGCAGAACTGCCCTAGAAGAAGACCATGGCCAGGTACAGCCACCAGAGCCTCCTGGACTGGCTCTACGGGGGCGTGGACCCCAGCTTTGAAGGCAACGGGGGCCCCGACTGTGCTGCGTTCCTCTCGTGGAAGCAGCGACTGCTGGAGAGCGGGGCCTTTCTGGCCCTGGCCGTGCTGGAGATCCTAGTGGCCCTATGGCATCTCCTGTGGAAGCCGAAGGAGGACGGGGGAGGTCGAGGGTCCTGCCCCCGCCTCCCGCCACCTCAGCCGGCCAAGGAGAGCCTCTTCAAGAACCTGCTCCTCGTGGCCCTGTGCCTGACCTTCGGCGTGGAGGTGGGCTTCAAATTCGCCACCAAGACCGTCATCTACCTGCTCAACCCCTGCCACCTGGTCACCATGATGCATGTGAGTTGGCTGGCTTGCGCCTGGGTAGCCTAGGTACTCAGAGAGGACTCCCACCCAGCCTAGGTGCTGACCCGTGCTCCCTCCCCTCCCTAGAGAAGCTGAACCTTCTTCGATTGGTTTTGGGAGGTCTGCCCAGGCCACTATCCCTGCGGTGCCCTTTGTCATTCATTCAGAGCTGCACTTAACACTTCGTTCTTAATCACCCCCGGGGAGCCTGAGGACTGTGGGGGAGGGCTAGAGGCAAGCTCTGGAAGGGCGGGGAAGCACACTGTCTAGGTCAGGGGCTGGGGAGGCGGGGGGGGGGGGAAGGCTACAGGCAGTTTCCCGGAGGGCCGGGAATATACTGTCAATCTGGAGGGAAGGCTTGGCGCCTTGCAATCCTCTCCCTTACTAGGCTCTAAGTAAGAGCAGATGCCAGTGGGGATGTGCAGGGAGAGAAATGCAAAGAAAGCGCTGTGGGAACTCCAAGGATCTGAGCCTCTGAAGCTGGGGGCGGGGG